TTGCACGTCCCGAACCCTGTCCACCTTATTACTACAAGATGCTCTTCACTGAGGGACCCCCAAGTGGTTGAGATGGCTCCTCTCGCACTCAGAGATTCATTAGACTCTCACTGTGCTAGCATACAAATGATCCTATGTAAACGTGCATCTGCTTGAAAAATTAATAAACTGCAAACTCATTATATGCGGACACACGAAAGCACACGAACACAACGAAGGCACATGTGACATCTGCAGATATGAAGATTCTGGGAAGACATCATACAACCTTTTACCTGCACGTTAAAGCTCACACACACACACACCAACACACAAACAACACAACACCACACACACACACACACACCACACACACACACACACACACAACACACGAGACAGACAGACAGACAGACAGACAGAAGACAGACAGGACAGACAGAGAGACAGACAGACAGACCAGACACCACACACACACAGCACACCACAGCACCACACACACACACACGTTGTTTGAACTATCAAACTGATGCCCCTTGATGCACTCTCTGCCCCGAGTGTCCTACTGAAACATGTAAATCAGAAGAGAGTCACAAGATATGTGCATGTTTATTTTACTCTGTGGTACACTGAATCTCATGGAAAAACAAACATAGACCTTCTTTGGAATCAAGCCATAGATTTCTTCAGTGAAGCATCCATTTTATTATTGGGGGTGAATGAAGGTCTGACAGCCTGCCGAATATTTAATCACTGATATGACAGAGAATATAATGAAAAAGGCATTTTAGATTTTACGTGTTATTCTCATCCTCTCCTTAATGAAATAAGATGATATGATATAAAACGGCCCAAGTAAAAGATTAAAAATCTAAAGGTGATACAGTAAGTGTAGACACATTTCTGAGGAAGCGCTCAATTTTGATTCTTGAAGAGGAACTTTACCAATTTTCCACATCAACAAGGTCTGTTTAAAGGTCTTGAGGAGTACTACAGCATATGTGAAAAATAATTGTATAAAGCCTTCTAATAAATTTCGTCAAGTGATGTCAATTGAGTCAGTGTTTGGGTCTGTAGACTACAAGTTTGAAAATGAAAATAATAATTGCTCCTGATCTCTGCTTGAGGCTACATCGAGCCACTATTAGCATAGCACACTTAAATCTCCTACCGAATTTGCCGGGGCTGGTACATGGCATAGAAGAATGTGTGGAATAAAAAAAAATAAGATATCTCTGTTTTTCTTGTCTATCGTGAATCTGACAACGTGATAGGAGTGCAAGGCTAAATCGGTGGAGTACTCTTTTAATGGAAAACCACATGAATATGAAGGTAAATTAAAACACTAATTCAAAACAAACTATGCATGAAATCACAAAGTTAAGTTATTTTCTCAGTAAGTGTCGACACAACTCAGACCTGTACACCCATATGACACCTTGCTTAGGCCATAAGAACAATTTGTAACGAGTTTTTAAATTGAAAGCCATTTAAAGAGTAGTTATGAAATTTTGAGAATTACACTAATTTGCTTTAAAGCCAAAGATTATGTGAGAAGATTGAGATACCACTCCCATATCTGTACGGTAAATATGAGGCTACATCCACCAGCCGGTTAGCTTAGCTTAGCATAAAGACTGGAAACAAGGGAAAATAGCTAGCCTGGCAAAAAAAAAAACAACAACTATGAAGCATATTTCCCAAAATGTCAAACTTCTCCTTTAAGAAAATATCAGAAAACATTTAATTAGACAGACCGACATCTTCAAAATCCAGACGATTTCTTATTGCGATCAAATACTTTTCTTACTGATGAAAATAGTATTTCCTAACAATTCTCTGTGACATGAAAAGATATGAGAAATAAGAGTCAGATTCACCGGTTATATTACACAACAAATGCTCTAACTGCCTCTTATTTACAGTTACATTTATACAAACATGAGCCAGCTACTTGCAACAAAATCGCAAGTAAAATCTTGAAAACTGTGAAACTACAAACCAAAGAAAATAATAACAGAACTTTCAACAATTAAATCTAAATCTCATCATCACTTTGTCATTTGCAATCTTTTTTTTTGCTCCCGTCTGTTCACTGAGTCGTCAGACTTATCAAAAGACACTGAGCTGGGGCGTAGGCACACCATTTTCACATGCCACACTACATGAACAAACTAAATGAAGAAGGGTCAGTGGCTCCTCTCGCTCTCTGTGCTAATGAGCTCTGACCTTTTAAAAAAAAAAACAGTTTTCACTCGTGCAACCAGAGATAACGCTTGTTTCCTGAAGCACATTATCTGACGGGACAATGAGCCTTTGCTGAGTACAAAACAGACACCGATTATATCAAGTATAATACACATTATCGTTATTATCACCTCAGCTTTTTGTTTATTACATAAAAAACTGGCGTGATAACAAATAGCATGTGTCTCCACACACGGATGGGTATGTTCAATTACTTTCCAATCTTCCTGCATACAAAAATACATCCAATTTAATTCCAAGATTCAAACTATCGCACCTATAATGACAGATCTACACGTACATGAGTGGACTTGGATTCAAGCAGTTTCCTCCACTGATCTATAGCAGCTGAAATTACACCAGAAAACATATCTGAGAGACCCCCAAAGGATCTGAATGCTAAGTGAATGTATATCAACAGGTTGATTTTACAACAGATTAAAGATTAACTGCTTGCCAAAAATGTCTCTATCTCGACTACATGCAGTCACACTCTCCGTCATACAGAGGAAAAGAGTATACGTTAAGCTTTTGTGTGTGTCTGTGTGTGTCTGCAGCTACCAAGAAATCAGCAGGACAGGGGTGTAGATCAGGGAGCTGCATGCGAGGGTGTTACCACGTGTTATGGACTTAATCTGTTATTCTCTATTTCTTTCTCACTTCATCACACCAAGTCGTCTCTCTGCTGCTTCTGCATTTCAAGAACGTTTAAGAACAATCATGACCTCCTTGTTCTAATTTGCTCTTAGAGTGCCATTTAAAGGCTGAATGACCTTTCCACTAATATGATGGATTTGCTGCCAGGGGTGACAGGTGGTGTGTGATGCATTGATTACTAAAAGTAATCAGAGTGCCTAAAGATCCAGGCTTGGGAGGTTTGCAGGGTTTTTTTTTTTTTCTTTCTTCAGGGCAATGATGGTCCGACGTCACAGGCAGAAGAGACGAGAGCCCTCTCTGCCA